AAAAAAAACAGAAAGGTTCGTACCCTTCCAACGTAGGGATAGCTCTCCTCAGTGTCGATTCCATGATTGTCCTTGATATACTCAAAAGCAAGATCCATGAGTCCACCATTGCAGCCGTGGTTTCCATACTTGGTGGAGCAATCTACGAGATTCTGTTCGGAGAGCGACACCTAAAATTCAAAATTATAGATCTCTAGTAGATGAATGATGCAAAAACCAACCATGTTTCCAGAGGCACGAGCATGTTGGCCTTCAAGGGCTCCAGTGGCAGAGAATGCCCAGCATGATCCGCACATTCCTTGATTCTTAACATCGGTCACAAGTCCTTTGTCGCGCCAATCGACTGAATCGGGAATCTGAAAATGAGATTTTATACAACTGTTTACAAGTAATCCATATTTATGGCGATCAAGAAAATTGTCTTCTCGACATATGGTGAGCCATAGCTTGACTAACTGAATCAAATCATCTTTATAAAGATAACGCATTGCGCTGCTGTCTATTCGTTGTTTTTAGGTTTTTTAAAGGGATGTTCGAAATGCCGAAAAATTTAGTTGTCCACAAATACTTGCTATATATATTTCGGGAATTATACTGAACTCACACTGAAAAACTAAGCGGTTTTGGTTAATCAGAGAGCTCAAAATACAAGATTCCATTATAAGTGAAGAACTAAAAACAACCTCAACATTGAAAGGAGCCAGCCATTTGGTGCCATTACTCTGCATAGAATCACCGAAGTTGCGACGATGACGATATCCATTCAGTTTTCTGTATTGCGAGAACGGCTAAAAAACTATTTCATGTTTCTTCTTATCACATCTCCATGTATATTAGAGATATAATGTTAATATAAATATTATCTTACAAGATCAGCAATGCTGTTCAATCCCATCTCAAAAGTTTTTCGGCCTAGTCGATGTTCTTGATTGTGCTCATCAATGTGGATAACATTCTTGACGAAAGCCTCCATATAGTCATTCTCTTCATCTTTGTTATATGACTTTCCTGAACAATTAAAAAATTATAATTAGACGGCGAAATACAAGGAATCCACTGATGTTTTTCTTCTACTTTCATAATAAAGAGAAGCTCTTAAAAACTGCAACGCATACAATCGTTAGCCAGACGGACGGCCGTCAAAATTGTGTTCATTGCTTTGTTTACACTTTTATCAGTCCTTACCCCAAACAAATAAATGAATGAATGGAAAATGATGTATTAATGAATCTTTGTCTCCTTCTAATTCGGCAGCTGTTTAACTGATATGCCTTCAGTTCTAGATCCTTTGAATGTAAATGCAATTTAAGTATAGCGTGGAAGTGTTTATGAAATATGCTGTGCATCATCGCTTAAGATCTCTCTTTTTAATGTGATACACAGCGCTGAAACTGAGTGAGTCATATGCTTGGAATGAACTATCATCCCAATGAACCAGTAAAGTGTTTTTTTAAGACATTAATAATTGATACTTTCTTACCGAAGGCCTCCTTGTAATCATCCCAAAGTTTAAAAGCTTCGTCGATTTTCTCTCGAAGACTTTTCACCCTGTGCAGTCGGATCGTGTGATCGCGCCTAAAAACGTTATCTGATCCACGTGATCCATATAATCGACCTAAATCGATTCAGTTCTAGCAGAAACACTGTATAAGAGGTCACATACTCCGAAATGGCTATTAGAAGAGAATCAAACATATTCAGATTTTGATTGAGGCAGCTAAATCAAGTCAGACAACAGTTACTGAGTTGTGCTACTGTGGACGGATAGATGAGATTCAGAATCAAACGATCCTTTAATTAAAGCAAAAGATTTGATTGAATAGGTAAACTGCAGGAACAAGGTGGTCGTCAAATTTCAACCAAAAACTTTGGAGAGGAGTTTATAGGGGAAAAA